AACAGGAGAGGGGAAAAAATTGTACGGCCATTTAAAAACGCAAGTTACAGTTTAAACCTATGCAGCACGACAAATGTTCATCAGCTGAAATAAAAATATAAAAGGTTTTGAAATCAGTAAAAATATGTCTCTTAATAAACATACTTTCGTAAGATATTATAAAATTTAATAATTTAGGATATTACGAGATGTAATATTGTAATCAATTACTAATTGTAATAATTAAATAATAGTTCAATTTCAAACATAGGCTACGTGTTCTAAAATATGAATTTTAAAATATAACTTTTTCTTCAACAATGTTCGCTTTTAAATGTTTTTTGTTGTTTATATCAGACAAAGTTAAAATGTTTGTTATTTTACCCTTTTACAAATTAAGTATTTAAGATAAGAATTACATTTATTAATTATGGTTGAGAATCTGTTAAAAAATTAAATTTGGTTGTTTATTTTTGTGTTATTGTTTTTCTTTATGTGTGTATTTTTTTAAAGTGGGGTTGGGTTTTGGCGGGGGGGGGGCGGGGGATTGTGTTTCGGACATTACATCTTTAACACTGTGAAAATATGGACGGGATAATAGAGCGGAGTTTTAATTTTTTTTTTTTTTTATTCATTATCCAGAAAATAATATCACCAGTCCTGCTTTACTATATAAATCAGTGGTTCTTAACCTTTTTGGGGGTACCGAACCCCAACAGTTTCATATGCGCATTCAGCGAACCCTTCTTAATAGGAAAAATAAAATATGATTTTTTTTTCTGATTTTTTGGGTGACCTCCGCCTAACCCCTGAGTCTGACTCATCAAACCCCTGGGGTTCGATCGAACCCAGGTTAAGAACAACTGATCTAAGTCTAAGTCATTGTCACTGAGTGTGAAAGAAATATTAACTGGGGTAGTCCCTCCCAAGTCTGCCCTTGTGGGTCCCTTGACCCTTGCGCGTCTCTTGCCCTTGCTGCTCTATATCTGTTTAGGAAATGAGTAAAACAAAGTAAGGTCAAACCTGAAAAGGGGAACGCAACAAAACAAGGAATGTTTCAGCAGGGAGACTTTGTCAGCGAACAAACAACAGAAAAAATATTTTTTTTTTTAATTTTAAATTTACTTTAAAAAGCACTTAGCTGAGAAGAACTATTCGAGAGGGCAGCCAAAGAATTTCTCTATCTGTTTCAGCTATCGTCTCGACCTCGCCCAGACACAAAGTGAGATACGACGAGCCACCCAGAAAGGTTTGGTATCCTGACAGGAAAAGACATTACACTTTATCTTAGCCAAAAGACCAAACTGTTAATCAAGATTAAACAATTAAATCTTGTTTAAATCTTGTTTAAATCTTGTTTAAATCTTGTTTAAATCTTGTTTAAATCTTGTTTAAATCTTGTCTAAATCTTGTCTAAATCTTGTTTAAATCTTGTTTAAATCTTGTTTAAATCTTGTTTAAATCTTGTTTAAATCTTGTTTAAATCTTGTTTAAATCTTGTTTAAATCTTGTTTAAATCTTATTTAAATCTTGTTTAAATCTTGTTTAAATCGTGTTTAAATATTGTTTAAATCTTGTTTAAATCTTGTTTAAATCTTGTTTAAATCTTGTTTAAATCTTGTTTAAATCTTGTTTAAATCTTGTTTAAATCTTGTTTAAATCTTGTTTAAATCTTGTTTAAATCTTGTTTAAATCTTGTTTAAATATTGTTTAAATCTTGTTTAAATCTTGTTTAAATCTTGTTTAAATCTTGTTTAAATCTTGTTTAAATCTTGTTTAAATCTTGTTTAAATCTTGTTTAAATCTTGTTTAAATCTTGTTTAAATCTTGTTTAAATCTTGTTTAAATCTTGTTTAAATCTTGTTTAAATCTTGTTTAAATATTGTTTAAATCTTGTTTAAATCTTGTTTAAATCTTGTTTAAATCTTGTTTAAATCTTGTTTAAATCTTGTTTAAATCTTGTTTAAATCTTGTTTAAATCTTGTTTAAATCTTGTTTAAATCTTGTTTAAATATTGTTTAAATCTTGTTTAAATCTTGTCTAAATCTTGTCTAAATCTTGTCTAAATCGTGTCTAAATCTTGTTTAAATCTTGTTTAAATCTTGTTTAAATCTTGTTTAAATCTTGTTTAAATCTTGGCATGTTTCTTTGTGTTACATGAGGGTGATATTTTTTACCTTATTTATTCATTTATTTTAAAATAATGTATATAACACTAAAATTCAAGATATATGACAAATTCCGTTGCTATGAGTTTTGTATTTGTGACGTATTGGGATATGCAGTAAAAAATATAATATATTTGTAAGAGGAATTTGAAACGCGTTTCGGCTTGAAGTTTACCGATATACATAAACGCTTCTTAATAAATGACAAATCACGTACAATGACATAAATGCAGACACAAATAAATATAAAGGATTTATACCAAAACTTTGTTTTTTTTGGGTTGTTTCTATTAAAAACGAATGGAAAAATTGTATCAATACCTCGATTTTATTCGTGGGGGGGAGGGGGGGGCAGAGCTTATTATGATCCTATATAGGGCCAGGTGAACCCATCACTATTTAAGCTGAATAAGCTTACGTCTGCTTGGTTCATGGCTAAGGGAGAAAACCCCCAAAGAATATTACTGAGTTTGGAATCCCGTAGATCAGTATGACATTGATTCTATGAACATTCCGGCGTAGATCAGTATGACATTGAATCTATGAACATTCTGGCGTAGATCAGTATGACATCGAATCTAAGAACATTCCGCTGACTCCTGTGACGTCCCCGTGCCAAGCTGTATATTTCACTTGATGTTCCCTTGGGTTCACCAGCTGCATGGAGAGGTGCGATGTGCTGACTGTGCACCAGCCTACTCTCCATAACAAAATCCTAGGCCGTAGGTTTTCGCAACATCCAGCGGAGACCACATTATCGACTCCTTGTGACGGATGGAGCCACAATAAATTATTTAGCATTGTAACTGAGCTAGTATTCTACATGCACAGACGAATGAATGCATTTATTTAAAATGCCTAGCAAGGTCAAAGCCATTTAAACAACGTCCTAGGCCGTGGCTTATGCTTGCTTAATAGTCTCCCTTTTTTTAAACGTATTGATTTTATAGATTGAAACTGGTCATATTCCTTTAACTGGCTGTGTAATCAATTCCTAGAAAATGATTACGTAAGCGTTTCGCTTCCTTTAAAAATGTACTTGATTGACATCGCATTGGAGTTTTCCGATTACATGATCATTAAATTGAATATATATTAGTTTTGGCAAAAAGCATAATATTATATAATGCAGATTCTGATGATAAAATACAAACTTATTTCAAGGCTTTTAAATTCAATTCAATAGATAATACTTAGGGGTGGATTTAAGATACAGATCAAAAACAAAGTTCGGAATCAATGTCGTCGTGTTCTTGTCCAGGTAAGTTATATAACTTTGTTAATAGTGTATGCAAAGGTAAGCCTATGGCTAGATTTGTCCTATCACTTTTCTTAAACAGATATAAATCAAAGTTAGATCTAAAGTTTAAATTTCAATATATTTTTTCCCCTACTGGCTGTCCTCATTAAAATAAATAAATTGTGTTTATATTGGTTTACATTAAATGTGCAACTTATGGGCGCCTGGGTTAGTAAGAATATGTAATATTACCGGCAAGAACGTTCCTTTAGAATTGTTAAAATTTTGCCAGGAATCAGTGGCGTAGCTGGGGGTTATTGCCGCCCAGGGCGTGTCAAGATTTTTGACGTATCTGCGATAAACACAATTCTGCAGGTGGCATAAAATGTCACCCTCAATACAAAGAAAAAAGTGGCACCCTGTGCGGAACGCCCCGTCCTATCTACGCCAGTGTCAAGAATCGACTTGACGAAAATGTTAAAACTCCTAGAGAAAAAGCCCGATGAGATAACATTACAAAGTTCCCAAACAATTGTCTTTTCTGTGATAAGCAGGGCTAAGGCACCATACTGTTGTGTGATAAGCAGGGCTAAGGCACCATACATTTCTTTGATAAGCAGGGCTAAGGCACCATACTTTTGTATGATAAGCAGGGCTAAGGCACCATACTTTTGTGTGATAAGCAGGGCTAAGGCACCATACTTTTGTATGATAAGCAGGGCTAAGGCACCATACTTTTGTATGATAAGCAGGGCTAAGGCACCATACTTTTGTGTGATAAGCAGGGCTAAGGCACCATATGAAACCAGTCGATCGATGTAAGGCTTTAAATGTAAATGACCTCGTTTTATATCCGATAAGCTCTGTCCCCACATATCTGTGTAAATCTTTCTGGCTTGGCATGTGCACTTTCATTCAAATGTCTTCATTGTTGGGTGGGCCACTCGTTGAACTCATTTGCATTGCGCAAATGCAAACATGTGAAAAGGTCATATGAAGGAGTCGTTGAACACATTGAACACATTGATTACATTGAACACATTGAACACATTGATTACATTGAACACATTGAACACATTGATTACATTGAAATAATACGAGGACAACTTATTTTCAACAACAGTTATTGCCATCTTTATTGCAACTGGGTTATTTTATTACTTTTTTTACTGAACAAATTAATTTTGCATGAATGGTCTTTTATTTTAAGTTGTTGTTGCTTATACTTTTTTAAAAGAAACCTGGTCATAATGTAAGTTCGTTTCGCGTCTTTTATAGAATCTTAGGTTAAATTTTTTTTTTTGAAAATTTCAGATTGTATGTTTTAGAAATCAATATTTCTCTTCGCTAATATTATTGCCATCCTTCTCATAACTACAGATGTTGCATTATTGGAAGACTGCACATATCAAGAGATTTATTAACTAATTGCTGCAGAAGATATTTTAATGAGCTTTCGAAACTTGAATAAAGTGCTTCTTTGAAAACTTACAGTGACTGGATCTCTTTTAGACCAATCAATATGTTCAACTTTATAAATAAACCTCAATATATTGTATGAGTAAACTCAGTGATAAGTTCCCATAGACATCTCAGTGGCAGATATCAAAATTATGGAATCGTCATCGAAGGAGCTGCTACGTTCTGTTAGAGACGGTTCTTTGGAAAACATACAGCGTGCTCTGCTTCATAACGGTGACGTCAATACGACAGACGACAGTGGGAAAACCTCGCTCATGATCGCAGCAGCAGAAGGAAGATGGAGTAGTCTCTCGTGTCTAAAACTCTTGATTCAAAATGGCGCCGATTTAAACATGGTGGATAACAAGGGGAGGTCGGCGATCAGCGCCATAGATGGAGATGGACCAGTTACTTTAATGTTTGAAAAGTTAAAAGTTCTTTTGGAAGCAGGCGCAGATCCCAACAAGGGCTTGTTTTACAGTTTTCCAACGTTAATGGAAATCGCCTTCGATCAAGAGAAACTTGATATAATTCGCTTGCTCCTCCGTCAAGGCGCTGACCCCAATCTGTGGGGATTCCCAGCACGAGCTTTCCATTGCTTAATACGGGCTGGCCATGAAAATCTCATTCGGAATATGATTACCAATGGGGCTTTACCGGAAGATACGTTAGCCATCTGGGCCTCACCAAGTAGTAAAATCTTCGTGTCCCCTTTGACAACAGCTCTCTTCTATGACAAGATCGGACTAGCTCGTTACTTTATAGCGAATCTGTTTATGACAAAGAACGATCTTTGTGACTGCGCTCTAAGACAGAGTACATTAGCAGCATCTATGAGAGGGCGTGACATTGCCGGTCTAAATCTACTTAACAGCTTGCGCAACAAACCGTTTCCTTTGCGTATTTTGTCATTTGTCACCGTTTCAGAAAGCATCGGAAACAAGGCAGGTCGCCATGTTGGCATCCAAAAGACTCCTGAGATTCCTGAAGATTTGAAATCAACCCGGAGCTTGTCTAAACTGTGTGTCAACGGTTGGAGAGACATTCAGCTTTGCCTGGACCACCGTAGAGATCTGCGTGCATGGCCATTGGGGGACTTTACCATTAAAAAATGTAGCTGTGCCGATTGCCAGGGAGATGGGTTTGTAATCATCAAAAAATGTAAATGTGATAGTACTTGAATTTGAATGCATTATAACTAGACTGCTTTAGTGTATAATTTATTATTATCTTTATTTGAGCGTTGTTTGTGTGTGTATATCTATATATTGAATTTTTTAATTATTATCTTTATTATTAATCTATATGAAGAGTGCGCATAAGATGTTCTATCCCCGACCAAGCATTTTTCTTGACACAGTAATCTGTAATTATTTTTATTACGATCCAGGCTTTGTTACTTGTAAACTCTTTTAATGAAAAATATTAGACATATTAACTCTTTGTAATATTTGAATATATTGATTTTTTTTTTTTTTATGTTTTAAAAATGCCTACTATTATTCATATTTTAAAATATTTGTAAATATAAATATTCAAATAGATAAACTAGTAACGCAAGTCCTAAATTCTTTTTATCGCGAATGTTGTTTTTATAATAATTAAAAGGGGACAATCCATTTTAAATTTAAGATTTTTATTTTCAATAGTTTACATGTATTTATAATCTGAAGATGTCTCTAGTCGTCTTTTTTTTTTGACTTGCCACTATTGTACTTACCGTCCATGTGATACAAACAGGATATTCAAGCTATACGTCAAATTATTTAAGTACCGGGTATGAATACATGCAACGTTATATAAAAATGTACCATCACCTGGTGGATATGGCAGTCACTTGTTAGTAAAGAGAAAAGAATTGGGAAGCTCTGTGGGGAAATTACCGAGAGCTAGAAGAGCCAACATTCTAGACACCTTGGGGAATTAGTGGAACAAGATATGTTTGGGCTTGAAATGTAAAGGCAGAGTCAATTAGAAGGTCGTTTGGGCTTGAGGGTGGGCTTGCTTAAGGTTGGGTCTTCCGTGAATAAATTTGTTGTGATACTCACGAGTGTCACAATTATCATTGACATCTTCCTTCTCAGCCGAAATTATGAAATGTTCTATACCGCTTTCTTCTTTGTTGTGTAATGAGCACGCATGCCTACCGTAGCAGTTTGTAAGGAGCACTCAAGTCTACCAGAGTGGTGTGTAAGGAGCACTCATGTCTACAGGAGTGGTGTGTAAGGAGCACTCATGTCTACCGGAGTGGTGTGTAAGGAGCACTCATCCCAGAGTGGTGTGTAACGAGCTCTCATTCCAGAGTGGTGTTTAAGAAGCACTCATGTCTACAGGAGTGGTGTGTAAGAAGCACTCATGTCTACAGGAGTGGTGTGTAAGAAGCCCTCATGTTTACCGGAGTGGTGTGTAAGAAGCTATCATGTCTACAGGAATGGTGTGTAAGAAGCACTCATGTCTACACGAGAGGTGTGTAATGAGCACTCATGTCTACCGGAGGGGTGTGTAGGAGCACTAATGCCTAGCAGAGTGATTGTAAGGAGCACTCATGTCTACAGGAGTGGTGTGTAATAAGCACTCATGTCTACCGGGGTGGTGTGTAAGAAGCACTCATGTCTACAGTAGAGGTGTGTAATGAGCACTCATGTCTACGGAGGGGTATGTAGGAGAACTAATGCCTACCAGAGTCATGTGTAAGGAGCACTCATACCTACCAGAGTGTGTGTAAGGAGCACTAATGCCTACCGGAGTGGGGTGCAGAAGCACTCATGGCCACCAGAGTGATGTGTACGGAACACTCATACCTACCAGAGTGGTGTGTATAAGGAATACTAATGCCTACCGGATAAGTATGTAAGGAGCACTGATTCCAGAGTGGGGTGCAAGAGGCACTCATGGCCACCAGAGTGGTGTGTAAGGAGCACTCATGCCTACCAGAGTGATGTGTAAGGAGCACTGATGCCTACCAAGTGGTGTGTAAGGAGCACTCATACCTACCAGAGTGGTGTGTAAGGAGCACTCATGCCTACCAGAGTGTGTGTAAGGAGCACTCATGTCTACCAGAGTGGTGTATAAGGAGCACTCATGCCTGCCAGAGTGATTTGTAAGGAGCACTCGTGTCTATCAGAGAGGTGTGTAAGGAGCACTCATGAGTACCCGTGGTGTGTAAGGAGCACTCATGCATACTGGAGTTATGTGTAAGGAGCACTCATGCCTACCAGAGTGTGTGTAAGGAGCTATCATGTCTACCAGAGTGGTGTAAGGAGCACTCATGCCTACCAGAGTGGTGTGTAAGGAGCACTCATGCCTACCTAAGTAGTGCGTTAGGAGCACCCATGCCTACCCAAGTGGTGTGTAAGGAGCACTCATGCCTACCAGAGTTGCGCGTAAGGAGCACTCATGCCTACCAGAGTGATGTGTAAGGAGCACTCATGCCTACCAGAGTGTTGTGTAATGAGCACTCATGTCTACCCGAGTGGTGTGTAATGAGCCCTCATGTCTACAGGAGTGGTGTGTAAGGAGCACTAATGCCTGCCGGAGCAGTATGTAAGGAGCACTAATCCCGGTGCAAGGAACACATAGACATCCATGAATATATCTTCAAACTAGCAAAGGAAATGGCTTATAACTTAGGATGTATAGCTTGAAGGCCTCCCCTTTTACTACAACAATACACTTAATGATACTGCAGGTGCTCTGTCCTTGCATTTTTTTTTAAGGTCAACAATGTGAAGGACACCATACTTGGGTTTCTGAAAACTTTCATTTAAATGGATATTTCACCAGAAAAAAAAAATAAGCTAGCTTATATTTCTCTTCATATCTTTAATTTTGTTCAGTCCTCTGTTGATGCACTGGCCTTCAAGCATCTAGTACATGGTTGGCCTAAAGGCTCAGGAAATCAACATGTTGATGGTGAACAACCTTCGTTTCTTTTTTTAATTATATTGCCCCCATCTTATTTAATCATAGCAACTGGGGGACAGTTGAATAAAGTCTATTAACAGCAATTACTACAGTAGACTACAGAGTGTCAACTCAAACAATCTAATAATTTAAATCATCTCAGATTTATTTGACAAAGTCCAAACAATACAACATGTCACATTGAGTAGTAACCAACACCCTGACTTTGGTTCAACATAACCAGAAAATAACCAACACTACAACACCTAGCAATACTAAATGAACCATATGGGTCTACTACAAATGATCAGCTCACTATGAGAATGAGTCATATATTGAGGTTACAACCATTAAGCATGTAGGATTGCTGGTCATTCGTGTAGCTAGAGTTGGGTCAAGAAAATTTAGCTTCAATGTCCTGATTCACTTGTCAATAAATGACAAAACAGTTAAAGTCTATAGGCTTCACTTGCCATACTTTGTTTCCATAATTTTATATTTCAATTTCAGAAATGTGGATGTTGCAAATGTAAGTTCTTAAAGCCTGGGACAGTTAGATAATAATACATATATTACAAGGGCTGTTGTTACAACAAATCAGCAAAGTACACCAGTTACCACCTCAGTCCTTTATGTATCCTTACAATTACAAGGGTGTTTGTACTACATTGTAGAGCACCGCATCTCAAGTGCTTTTTACTACATTGTGTAACATGGCATCTCATGTAAAACTTAAATTTAAAACTCCCAAAAAGGACCATAACATCTCAGAGTAGTAAAGAGGTAAAAAACTAAACTGTGACAAAGGTAAACTATCAAGAGCATGGCAATGAAAAGAAGTTCTGACTTAAACTTAAATGAAAAATCAGACTGAGAAAAAAAAAAACAGCAGTGACAAACCATGAATAGGAAAATGCTAAAAATAACATCTGCAAATACACTAAATTTAAGGGTCTTGTACACAAGCTAAGACATGCTTCAGATACTCGCAGCTGAACCATTACTGCATTACTAACAGCCATTCTTCACAAACTGAATATACCAAGATCAAACCATTTGTAACTTTACTTGCATTTTAAAAAAAACAGCAACCTCTCAGTTTATTCTAAGCCCCAAATATATATGAGAAAGCCACAGGAAACATTCTATGACGATTGTAACCAGATTGTGCTCAGTCCCTTGTCATGCTATAAACCCTGCGATATGGTATATAAATATAGTTAACAATGACACCTCACACAAACTGACTAACTCCAGTAAACAGTCAGTCAGCAGCATACGTCATTTCAAACACATTTGAAGTTTATAAAAATGCATCCACACATCACCAGATTGTAAGTGATCAATTTGATCATCAAAAAAGTAGAGTTTTTAAAATAGACAGATCAAAAGTTCATTAAATCAACTACAACATGTACGCTTTTTCATATGAGCCCTATTTCAATACAAGAGCAGACATCCATCCCTGTGGCACTATAGCCCATGTGGGGCTTTCGCCTGCCTCACCAATTCCCTCCACTCAGACCTAACTACTCAATTCAAATATCAATTCCCCTTTTTCAATATTGAAACTTCACTTGTTTTAAATTAATCAATCAAGCTGATGGAGAAATCTAACAGTTTGGAACATAAACATACTGTTTTTTAATTAAAACCAAAATAAAAAAATTTTAAAATTTAAAACAAAAAAACCACCTTAACTATGGAATTAATCATATTTTTTAGACAAATTATCTGACTTTTAATGTTATGCTGAAATCCAAACAGTTAACTTGAATCAATTCTACTCGTACGTTTTCTTTTAAAGAATGAAAACACATTTTTCCCCATTCATATTTCACCAACACACACTATAAAACATCATGAAAAATGTCACATACATTCCAGTCTTTCAAAAGAAATCAAAATGTCTTCACCACCCAACATTCAAACCTTTATATATCTTGCAATCCCACGCCCACACCAAATCAACACCTAACTATCTTTAGATCATAATTCTTTCTCTAATGCTTGAAGTTTCTTCCACTCCTCAGGATCATGTTTAGGCATCAGCTCCCTGACTTTCTTGATAAAATCTGCCTTCTCAGCACAGCCTTTGCATGCACTGTCTTCACCCCAGTTAGAAAGAATCTTCTTGAGTTCTCCGACTTTCATCTTATTAATCTTGGTGAAGTCTGGCTTAACATCTAAATTGACAATGAAGAGATAATGCAAATATAATTCAGAGGGGGACTCTTAGGTTACCTATATTTACAACTATATTATGTTGTAGTTACATAAAACACCACGAAATAATCACATTAGATTCATTTTTGTAGAGCCCTATATACATGTACTTGTATTTAATTTTTTTAACTGTCAAAAACTATTCACGCAGCTGAAACTTAACTGTTGATATTATAAGTTAATTTTATCCAATGAAAACTTTACTGCTACCTTCCATTTTTAAGCTTTAAACTCATACCCAAAAAAAGCTACTCTACAAAATTCAGTTTGACATGGTTGTTTTACCAATTGCTGGAGTCTACACCCCCCTCCCCCACCCCTGATTGGTATGAACTTCCTACTATTCAAGAAAACCTTATCAATCTGATACAGTAACATAATATATAACGGATACTTTAAATTGGGATTTTTTTTTAAGTAAATGGCCTAATTTATAGTTAGCCAACTGAGAACTTACAATGTTTGAGAATATCGCCAAAAAAAAAAAACAAAGATTGGAAATGGATAATTCACTTCAACTGTTTTAAAACTGATAAAACAGAGTAGTATTTTCCCTGCACTTAACTATAAAACTATTCCGTCCAACAGCTTGGTCTGAATGCTAAAGATTTAAGTAGAACTTTGAAAATATGGGTCAAAATGAGAATTCTATAAAACAAAGCTAACTTACCATATCTCAGCTCACAAATCTGCGAGTCCATAGCCTTCAGCTTCTCACAGATTTTGTCAGAAGGGAGATGATAGCTTAAAGGTCTAATCAAATTGCTTAAGATGCCTGTTGCTGCATCTTCTGTCCCACCGACAAAGTAACACTAGAAATATAAATTTTAATGCAAATAGCTTTTATATGAGTTAACTGAACTAGACTTAAGTTCCATATTCTAAAATCAATTTCTAAGCTTTCTTAAAATTTTGAAAACATCCATGAACCAAAACTATTTATTTGAAATACTAGAAAAAAAATCATTTGATGAATAATTTTTTCTGTGCTTATGGGGCTATGGCCTAAGTATATGTTCTAAAAAGCTTCTATTTTATTTTATTTTCTTTTGAATGTGTCTTTCATTTAGCCTAAAAAAAGGAATAGAATCATTTTTAAAAAAACTACAATGTAATGACTGGAGTATCTTAATCTGATGAATATGTAAAACTTTAAAATGTAGAATCACGTCAATGTACCATACTTACAAATCGGTTTTCCTTTCCACCTTTTGGCAATTTTTTGCAATACTTTCTGAAAGCTGTTTCCAGTTTCTCCACATTGCCATAAAGTTCTTCAGATATTTCTTCCTTAAATTTATTTATGGCACCAATACAAACTGCAAGTAAATAAAATAAACCATAAAGAACTAGGTCTGCTTGGATTGAATGGTCCATAGATAGAACTCTTTATTTGAGAAATGCTTGTTGACATATTTTGGATGGTTTGGTTACTTTAAATGTTTTTATCTCTGGTTAGTGGAACTATAAAGAGCTAAAATTTGGTGCACGTCTATTCATATTTCTATTTCATGATTCGACAAAGATTTTAAAAAAAGTTGACATAAAAGAATGTGTAACTTCCTTCAACACACAAAATTAATTTTATGACTCAAGACTCGTGATATTGAAACTTTTCAACCTGAGCACATAAGATAATTAGGTCTCTTTTTTATTACCAGGTCAGAGATTTCTTAGAAAACAGGAGAGAGGAACATCAGAATGTCACAACTTAATTTTAAATGCTCCCCCCCCCCAAACTTGCTTTTTTAACGTCAAAGTTTTGAATAAATGCTTAATGTGACAATGTGTGCAATCTCTGACCCAATCAATCCAATTTTAATTAAATATTAATATAGGCATAGGGCTTTAAGATGAAGGGTAATAATACATCATGACCTATAACTATTAATAGAAATAAAATATTATAGGCCCTTTACTTTTAGTATAGGCCTAGCCTTTCTTTGCCTCCAAAACTGAAATGCATTATTCATTATGACATTATAAAACTATGTACCGTACGAGTTAAGTACTATCTCCTATGCCCTTAACTTAAAGAAAATGTATAACTTAGTCAGCTTAGTCTTAGTACAAAAAAAATTCCTTCACTTTCACAATGTTGTATGTACTAGCCAACAATGGACTGGGCTAGACTGAATTAATTTACCAGGCCTAGGTGAGGTATAGGCAAAAAATATTCTAAAAAACTAACCAACGAAAACTCTCATCCCTGTTCAATGTTGATGTGTCAAAACAAATTGGAATTACCTCTGCCCTATCCGCCTATACTTATCCGTCCTATCTGAAAGAGCTGCTGACGCCTTATGTACCCACTAGAGAGCTCCTCTCATCCGATAATGGCAAACTCTCGACACCACGTGTTTGCCTTGAGACTTACAGAAAGCGCACTTTCGCATTTGCTGGTCCAACAATTTGGAACGCCCTTCCTGTCGATCTCAGAAACAACCAGACACTGGAGTCCTTTAAAACCGATTTAAAGACACATCTATTTCGCAAACACCTTCTGGGATGATTGTCTACCATATTTTCCATTTAATGCATGTTAGCTGTGTTACTCAGGGTTGAAATGGGTAGAAAGACTTTGCAATTGTATGCTTGTAATTAGTTTTTGTAGAGTTGCTTTTGTTTTAAATGTGGTAAATTATAGATTTGTTTTTTGTTGACTTTGTACCGCGCTTCGAGCCTTTGGGGATGAGGCGTGTTTTGAAATGAACTTTATTATTATTATTATTATATTTTATCGAAGTGATTATTCACAGAGCTGAGCGGATAACGCTCGCCGTTATTCACAGATTTCGGTCTGCCGATAACCCTCGACATTATTTGCAGAATGTGATAAATTAAATTTTGAATATAAAATACAAAGTTCGTATGTAAACATCTCCTAGGTAGAGTAGTGGTGAGTATCTCCGCCCGTCACCCGGCAGACATAGGTTCGATTCCCTGTCGGGGAAGCCTCATTTTTATAAAAAATTTAAAAGAAAAAAATATTTAATGGTTATTTCGTAGTGTTATATTATAATATTCTTCATATAGCTTTCTTATTCTGTTCAAATAGTTTTATTATTATTTTCATATAGTTTTGTTACAAGTTTCAATCTATTTTGTTAGAATGTTCATTCAAGTTTCGTAAAAAAACTGTAAACAACATGGACATGCAGATGAGCCGCATAAACCATGTTTAAGTCAGATACAGCTGTTCTAACTGTACATTGTGATATACTTTTAGCTCTTTTGACTGTTTAATTTTCTTTGTATAATTCCACTCATAGACTTTAACATCCATTTGTTTTTTCTCTAATAAACAAATACTTATTAATAACTTACTTATTCAAATATTTTAGATCTCAGAGTTGTGTATTAATGTTTAGCTGAAAAAATATGTCACGTTTTATTTGTTTCATTTTATTTTCTAATAAGTATCATAATAAGTAGGGACACAATATGCCGCTCCAGAAATAGTTGAAATAACATTTAGTGATGACAATGAAATGAACATACCGGTACCGTACTTAAAACATATCAATATCATTGACATCAACAATTTTAGCTCTTGTAAAAAAAATGTTGATAATTGAAACAAAAAGCCATACTGCCACTGTTGTAACTATGGGTCTAAATACAAAAAAAAGCATACAAAAATTAATTGGAACCCTGCTGGTCGTAGGATGCATTGCGAGTCTTTGGGAAGTAAAGTTCCCTTGGGGCAATTGAAGCAGCGTTTACAAGTGTGAGTGTATTGCCAGCGTAATAACCAGCCAGCTTTACTTTTCCCAAGCTAAGGCCAGAGCTGGGTAGACTTAGGGACACCCTCAAGGATCAGGAAAAAATACTAGCCTTAAACAGGATTAGATTCTGTTATTATCGATGTAGGGCCTAGATACCCCTCCCCGTCTCTCACATGGCCGCCTGATGGAGACACCTCTCTGCATCATAACACTGTTGCACGGCATGTCAACTATTTCTGTCAGAACATTTCTGGACTATGTGATATATCATAGTGCTTTAAAAAAAACATAACGATATCCTATCAAGCTTTGACATCATTTAAAGACATCTCTACAATGGGTGAAAGTGAGTCTACATGGAGAATTCCGGTACCATTTTTATTACTGGTATAAGTATACCATTTAATATGAAATACCAGAAAATTAGCTATGTCTAGGAGTAGGAGGTTTGACTGGATCTATTAGTAACACTCTATAGGTTGAATATGTTGGCCCCTAACAGAGCAGATGTAGGCACAATTAATTGTCCTATATCCAATATATAGGCTATAGTTAGGCCTATTAAATTTTTTAAATTTAACTTGTGCATACCGGTAGCTTCGGTTTTGAGATGTGTTTGTGCCATTCTCATTAACGATCGATCTATCCTACATTACTTAAAACTACACCCCTACTCCGGCTTGGAATGTGATCTTAATTATTTCTAGAAATGTGCGTAATTATGGGAACATTTCTGTCAAACAATAACGCTCTGCATTATTCGCAGACCTCGGTCTGCCGATAACGCTCAACGTTATTCACAGAGCTGTGTGGATAACGCTTCCCATATTTTATAGCTACTAATACTAATACAGTCAGTACACTCTATAAAATTAGTAGGCCTATATAGTATAGTCTGGTAACCCTATAGTCTATATAGGCATACGGCCTACTTAAATATTAATAGACTATAATACTACTAAGTTGTCTTAGTAACTAATACTGACTGAGTCACTAGACTTCATTTAACAAAGAACTTTACCTTTTATGAAACTGAATTATAAAAAAACAAAGGAATGATGATGAAATTAGGCCTATAAAGTCTACATACCTTCACATTCTCTCTCATCTTTTTCCTTTTTTGCTTCCGCAAAGAATGAGAAAAGAGCGCATACAAGTAATAACAATGCAGCACTCCGTGTAGTTACTTGAAATAAGCTGGTCATATTTAATAGTTTAATAAATAAATAGTGAATTTACACTGACAGCTAGCAAAATTTTCAATAAACTTTGTACTGAGTCGTAATTCGCAACTTTTTCAACACGTTCTTGTCGTTTTCAATCTCGTACTTAGCTATTAGTAGGTCTCTGCTGCATGCGTTTCGCAACAGATAAATCAGTGATGGGTTTTAATTTTTAATTCTTAGAATATTTTTTTTAGATTGAATAGTTAAATAGGAAATTAAGCCGAGCTAAGGAATGAAAAAAAAACAGTAAGAGTGCTTATGTATATGATAAGTTCTCGTAATTTCGGTTAGACTACGCAAATTACACGTCGTTTAATCTTTAGAAAACGCCTTCATATAAACCGTGTTTTACAGAATACCGGTACAGTTGGCGATATTTGATTGGCCAACTCCATCGATACGTAAGCTTTACTTGGGAAGGAAGTGACGGAATACACAATTAATTCTAACTCTTCTTTCTTTTGTGTTAATTTTAGTATAACGGAAGTTCAAAATCATACTTTTGTTTTCACATGTCGATCTCACCACTGGGTGATTGAAATTTAAATTTGAGTATACAAGAGAAAACTAGACTAGGCATACAGAATTTTCTTATTAATCACTTAATATAAAAGAATGGCCATGCAACTTCATCTTAAACCTGACGTCTATCAAAGTTTAAGATCGGGAACATTTAAAAAAGTGCGTATCAATGAAACAATGTCAATGATTCAATGATCAACTAGATCTAATTTTAAGTTTTTAAAATTTAAGACTTATTAACTAGCAAGAACCCGGCATGCGTTGCAATGCCACACGAAGGAAAAAAAGGTTTTTGTTTTCATTACGTTTTTGAAGACGTTTTTAAATATAACATTTTTTTTTTAATCTGGTGCGTACACAAATAAATTTAAAATTGGGCCTTTCAATGCATGAGATGAAGGCCACATACTATTTACTATTAGACATACTCACACGGCGTGACATACAGCTGTCGCCTGTCCAAATGAGAAGTATGGATTTTCTAAATTAATGCCACTCTTTTGTATCGATACAATGCACTCATGAAGTCGCTCTGTTGAGATTATAGTTATCAAAGTGGTTGCTTGCACCCCAGCGGTGTACCTAGCAAAACCATGGACTTAGGCCTGCGTACGGTACACCACTTCTAAAATGTAACATTGACCTGGTTTTTTAGATATGCCTAATATTTCATTCTAGTTGAAAGTAGAAGCTGTCTCTGTAAAATAAATTTCTATCCCTAGTTTATCTATTAATGATTATTTATCAAATGTTTTCAGGATGAGAAACCTTTACAAAAACTCCTCCATGCTCTCACTGTACCTCCAAGATATACAACACTGCGCTTTAAAAAAAAAGATGGAATGAATGGGCTGGATGAAGTTTCAAAAATTCTTGATAAGGTAGGCTTTGTTGTTGAATAACTTAATATTTTACCTTTGTGAGTGCTAAAATCTACAAGAACTAACTCTCTTGTCAAGTCTCTCAGATACTGGTAGTAAATTGTTATTGTTAGTAACAATTTAAAAAAAGGGACAATTTTTACAATGTTCCATACAAATACAACATATGTTGTGGAAATACCAAAAATAGAGTATCTTCAACACAAAGAATAAGAAATAAGAATTTCTAATTAGACAGCCTAATATCTCTTCTGTTAAACACTGTCGCGTAAATGACATTGAATGACAAGAGGGAGATAAGTGAGTAGCACATTGTGAAAAAGCTGTTGCTGTTTCAGTTTAAATATATTCTGTAGATTTAAAGTAATTATTATATTGCTTTTAATTTTTTTTAAGCAATGCAGTATGACAGGTTGGGACAAATTTGATGCATATTTACATAGCACGCTAAAAGATTGCATAATCATACCAAATCGAGGTCCTCATGATATAACTGAGGTAAGGATGCATCCTTAGTTTTCTTTCACAAAATATCCAACTGTAAATAAAATGCATTATTTATATAGAATTTTCCCCCAAAATATTTGTATTAATTCTGTATGACTTGGCATATATTAATAAATATATAATTTTTAAAAAGCAATTATTTTCCTTCACACAAAAAATATAGACGATTCATTAAAATAGAAATCCCAGTCTGAACTACATTCAATAGATGAATAGTGTAGGTCTACACAGATACAATGTTACCCCTCACTTCCTTTTCCACACATCCCCAATGCATTTGTCTCTATCACACTGAATATTTGACATTAGCATTAGCTGTACACATGTTCATTTCCTGAGATAATTCCTCAATCGCTTTTTACCTTCATTTCTACAAAGAAGAAAGGTTGATAAAAAAGAGTAATATTTGTTAGGCTTTAGCAATCCATATGTTCCATTAATATTTTGTATTCACAGACAGACAAAGAGGTTATTGTTGATACAACATGTGGTATGGCCATCCTAAGAGGGGCCCATGTATACAAGAACGGTATCATAGGAGCTCCACACAGTATGTCTGAAACTTCCTTGCGTCAGTTAAAAAAAATGTGGTTATTGATATGCTTCAGTGAATACATTTCTAGCACCTTCCAATATACCCTCAAAAAGACTTCAGTATGCTACTACTTGTTTTGATTACAAAATACAATGCTTTTTTTTTTACATTTAGCTTTACTGTTTGATTGAAGTGATAAGTTTGCATAATTTTAGGTAGGTTAAAACTGATTCTTCTCTGCAGGTCTCAGAGCTGACGACACGGTGTCAGTGTATGCTGATCTTGAAGGCAAGTGTTTAAAGGGCACCACAGTCTACAGTGGGATGAAGGTTCTTGTTGGCAATGGTATTTCTCAAGTTTCCAGATCAGATATTTTTAATTCCAACACCTCACGTCGGTAAGTTGATTGTAAATAGTTGTATATGACGTACTCCCCATAAAAAATTGTTAGTTATTGTAAAATTTTTATATATGACATACTGCCCATTATAATATTGATAGGTATGACATAATCTCCATTCTAATAAGATAAGATAAAATTCTTTTACTAAGCCAAATAAATTTAAATGTTTTTTATTGCTTTGTACATATACATCTTCAGCACATAAATAAATACATAATTTAATAAAGTCAACATTATCCAACTAAAACAATTTAAACACAAGACATATAAATTAAATTATTTCTCTAGGGTAAGAAAACAACCATCAGTGGACTCCATTAATCATAATAAGAGACTTAATTTGTTATCATTATTAGGTGTGACATAATCCCCATTTTATGACAAGAGCTCCTTCAAATTACTGTTGATCTGCACTGAATATTTTAACAGGCTAACATTATACTGGATTTAAATTTCTCTTTTAAACCTTTAAAGAAACTTAAGAGTAAGATGAGCAAGATAATAAATGCTTAGTTTCATATTTTATTTTGTTGTGAAAGTGCTGTATTAGTGAAATTTTGTGGATTTTTGTTTGTTTTCTTAAATAACAAACCAATACATATTTGAACATGTTTAATGGATATAGTTGACTGACTGACTGTAAAAACATTTATTGAATAGTGGCATTGGCATTTTGATGACAGAGCCTATATTTCAAGCACCGTCCCTTTCTGATCTGAATCTGGATTGGGTAGTTCCTCAGAACCTCCCATCCATTGTGTGTGTTCATGTTTTGGATCCTAAACAAGGGGAGACCATTCTGGACATGTGTGCAGCTCCTGGAGGAAAAACAAGTCATATTGCTGCCCTTATGGAAAATACAGTTAGTATATTATCTTAACCTGTCTCCAAACTTAATATGCTTTAAAAAATATGAAGAATACCATAGTTTTAGACACAATATGTTAAACTGAACAATGTGAACATACTTTTAGAATGTTTGGATTGTGTTACAATTACCAGGGCTGCAGTGTCAGCGCATTATTCTTTGTAAGAATAAGAATCAGATTCAATTTCCTGAAAATATTCCAGACATTCGCACAATGCAGGTCGCTTTCCATGTAAATTCTACATTAAGTGAAATTCATTCTGCTTCAGTAGTAAATTTAAACAACTAAAATATTATGTTCCATGACTTAATTGATCTAATTGTTGTTTTTTGCCAGTAGAGAAGTATAGAACTAATTGTTGATGTTTACCATTAGAGCCATTTAGAAATAATTATTTATGTTTACCAATAGGGGCGTATAGTCGCACTGGATAAAAGTCAAAAGAGAGCACTGCTGATGGAAAGATTTAAAACTCCAAACATGGAGATCTATACCTTTGATGCGACTCATGCTGTGTTAGCAGATGCAGGTATTTTTAAAATTCTTCTCAGCTGCTGCCAACAGAATTTTTTTAAATATTATTCATACCATTCATTCCATAACCATTTATTATAGCTGCATATTAAACCGAAGCTCTCTTTTGTATAATAGGAACTAATGAAATTTACCAGCAGTTGCCACCTATGCTAAAAACTCGTTCCATTAATGTTGTTGCAATGGTGGTAGGATATTCTGCAGCAGTTCAGTGCTGTATCAATAAAACAAGTGATTTTAAAACAAACCTTGGAATCTTATGTTTCAGATTCAGTAACCTTGCCAGATCTGTTTACCTGAAGCTAGTTCCAAACTAATTTGTTCCAACTGTAGTTTATTAAATCGGGATTTGCTCAACGGAGATTTTTTGGTATATAAATGTTTTCTAAGGTGTGAGTGAGAAATGGGGGAGAAACTGTAAATTTTTAAATATAATTTTTTTTTTCTTCATTATTTCCATTTGAAAAACATTCCTTTGAACAAATTGATTTTGTGCTAGTTTTTGGATATAGTCAGATAACATGTCTCTGAATTATTTGTCAGTAGTTAGTTGTTTCTATTTTTATATTCAGTGACACAGAACTTACACTAGAGACAATAACTAAATAGACTGTTGAAATGCCATTAGTTACGGCTGTGTATAAAAAATTAATCGTACATTATAGACATCAGCTGTCTTTTGTGCAGGTCTACTGTTCGACATACATACTCAAAAAAGTGTGTTGCTCTTGTTAATTTGTGTTATATTTTTTACAGTATTAACAGGAGGGCCTCCTTATCCACCTGCATCATTTGATCGTATTTTAGTTGATGCCCCCTGCAGTGCCTTAGGGCAAAGACCCAGCTTTATAAATAACATCACTCTTAAACAGCTGCAATCATTTCCAGTCATTCAGCATCAGCTGCTGCTCACAGTAAGTCCAAACACTTAGCACATTTGTGGCATTCTGAAATTCTGGTCCTTTATATGACATACGAAATTATAAGAGAAACATGTTCATGGGTTGATTGAAATCACATGGTACTCATTTTTTTTTGTTTTTTAGATGTAAACCGAGCTTCAAACTGTTAAATTTAAAATGAACAAATTTTAGCATTAACTCACCCTAGATGAGTACTATGGAAATCAAGTCCTTGTGTTTATCAGTCTTAATAGTTAAATTTTTTTTTACAGAATATCATTATGGAAATGCACTAACTTTTTAATGATTAACTGATTTATTTTTTGTGATAAGTTTAACAAAAATAGTTTTTGTGTGGATTTGCTGCAGGCGGTGAAGCTCTTAAAACCAGGCGGTGTGATAGTGTACAGCACTTGTACAGTTACCAAAGAAGAGAATGAAGATCAAGTGTCTCGACTGCTGGCTAAATGTCCTGAGATCAGGCTTCTTTCTACGGTAATATTCTTAAGTTTGTTTAAGAATGCTTAGAAAATTTTTGAACTGTGATATGCTAATCCTCATTATTGCTGAATCTGGAAACAGGCAGATTCTTTCAGCAGAAAATTTTCAAGTGACTCTAAGAGTCTTTGTATTTTAAGGAATGCAATTTTATTTGAACATTTTGAAAATGCTTAATCTGTCACTGTTTTTCTAATAACCTTCGATAAATTAATAATTTTATTAAGAAAAAAAATTGATGATTTAAGCAAAGTAGAAATAGTTTTCACTATAAAATTATACATATCAGTTTAAACTTATTTTTAAAAAAATTTCTTACATAACCTTCACCCACCAAAAACAAAAAAATACCTTTTGACTTTTGTTTATTTCTTCTATAAAAAACCTTTTAATAGTTAACTAAAAAAAAAATATTAATAATTTTTCTATTTCCTTTCAAGCCTTGGCGTGGAGCGGGCGCAGACTATGATTGTGACCTGACTAATGAACAAAGATCTCAGGTCCTACGATTTGACCCCTATAATATAACAGCGGACCCAACACATATTGTCTCATGTGATTATGACACTATAGGCTTCTTTATAGCCAAGTTTCAGAAAGATTTTGTTCTGTAATTTGTAGCTCTTAAAATAATTCAACTACGGGTAATTATCTTTTTTATTTTGTGTATATCTAATTTAAACATTTTAAGAAAATGTTACCCTCTTGAAATGATATATTATATAAATCATTAAAACATTTTAGTTAGAGACATTTTGACAGAATGTCATAGATGGGAATTTGAATTGGAGATATGGTTGAGAATGAGCAGAATTACACATGATGGCATTTGGTTTATTTTTCTTTGATATTTTATACCTCAGGGATTTCTATGTTTTTTTTTTCATTTTCTTTTCATATTTGTGTCAATATGTAGTGTTGTGTAATAGGATGATGCTATTACATGTACAATGATGTGATGTAAATATTGATATCAATTGGCTGAATTGAGTAATAAATACTCCCTAAAAATTTTTGAAAATTAAAATAAAAGCTTCATGAAAATAAGAACATAACTTGGTAGACACTTTTTAAATTTGAATTTCTTTTTAAATCAACCTGAATAGTGCAAATATAAATTACATATATCTTTCATTCCCTCACCTCAAATGCATAATTTTACATTTTTGCTTCTCAACAAAATTGAAACACGTTTTAAAACAACAAAAAAAAACAACATTTGATCTTTAATTTGAAATGAACAAGTTTTATCAACAAATATTTTTTTAATCAAGCATTTATTTCTCCATATTGAAGGGATATAATAATTATCCATGCCTAATTTATGCTTTTATTTCTTTTTGTTTTTAATGTTCAATTTTTTAAAATTAACTCCACATGTGACAATTATTACTAAATTTACTTCTGACTACTGAACTGAAATTGATGTACCTGAGAACTGTACAACAATAAAGTAAATTTCTTATATACCCATGATATAAAAAAAATGGATATCAATAAGCAGCTGTTGATCTCATGTCAAACTAAATATATGTACAGTGCTTATGGCACTTATTGCAGAAAATGAATCATTTAATGATGGAACCAAGTCATTGACTTTTAAATTTCGTGTAGTTTTTTTTAATTTAGAATAGATTTTTCACTTTGTAACTTTCCACTCTCCTGATCTATTTGTCTATTAATTGTTTTACAAGATGTTTCTTTAACTTTGCCCTGATTTTTACATGTAAATTGTACTGTAAAAGATATTTTTAAGGTACAAAATTTATTCATGAAAATATCTGGCCATTTTTTAAATAACTTTAAATATGTATATTTATATATCCCAAAAAACCATTATGAAGATTATTATATACATAATAAGCTGTTACATTACCTCTTGCCCAGATCACATAGTAAGTGCATTACTTTTTAAACTAAAAAAAAAACCAATGTTTGATCTAGGGAAAATAAAGTTCTACAGATTAATTAATGCCAAAAATTTGTCTGTTAGAAAAATTATTTTCCATAGATATTCAAACACATATCCCATATTTAGATCAATAATTTTCATGACTAGGCCAAATTTTTGGCCTGACTTAAGAAGAAGCAATCACTCAAGCCAGCACAGACTTGTCTTCTGTATGGACCTTTAGTTCTCTGCTTCTCCACCTTCAACAATAACTGTCTCAAAAATGATGGGCTCCAGGGGCTCATCTGACTTATCTTGACTGTTTCTTCTCTGAACCTGCCCATCATTTGTCTTGTACAGAATGGGCACCGGTGCACATGCTGGGGGCAGAAATTTGTGTAAGGCACTGACCATTGTATCAACAACTTCAATGGGACATGCTCTTGCCAACGGACGCTCCAGACAGTTCACAATATTTTCTGCAAAACTAAGAGATTAAAGAATGACATGATTTTAAGCTTGAAGAAGTAGTATAAGTTACGAGTAGGATAAAAAAAATATTTTTTAAACTTTCTATCAAAGATGAGTTTAATCGCACTAAGAAGTAGAATATTATGTAAAATTCTTAAAATACATTATGCAAAGAAAGTCTGTAGAAAAGAATTCTATGAAGCCAAAGGTTTCCAATTAAATGAAGAAAAACTTAAATGTGTCATGTTTTATTAATTTTTAAAATGTTTTAAACTTTTCTTTGAAAGTATTTTTAAACTTTTTTTTTTTTCTACTTTTTAATATTGTAATCTTTAAATTATTGACATAATAAGAATTATTTCCTGTTTTTAAATAAAGACAGCATAGCAAAGTGACTTAAGCGACAAAATTCTTTATTGCACAATAAATAAAATTTTATTCTACAAACTATATCAATTAGTGATTAGAAAGAAAGTCTCTAAAAAGCAGTTATTTATGTTTCATAAAGATTTTTTAAGGGGTTGACTTTCCCTTTTTTTAATTTAATCTTTTTTTTTTTTCCTCTCTGTCTTTGATTGTGAAGTTTTAGCTTTTATATTACATTAACATTTATGTGAATAGTAATTTGAATGGCTTTTGTAGATGGGTCTTAATATAGTATTTTAGTGCTGTAGTTATATTTATACAAACAAAAAAAAGAATTGAACATGCCCAAAATGCCCCAATAAATCTTTTCACTGGGTATCTCGCAGGGATTTTCACTTGGTACCTAGCAGGGATTGTTCATAGGGTGCTTCATAAAAGCAACTGATAGTGGTCTTTTGGCCCAGGCAGATCTTCTAGAAGTTTTAAATTCTGCTATCACCTTTACCCTTCGAGCTTATCAAGTGGTTCCCACTTACTTGCAAGTTATGTCATGTAATGTTCTGTGTGGGGCTATCCCAGCATTGGTGATATCTTTACGGAAGTTCTGTGTCTTAAGGAGAATGCAGCTGGAAATGCGTGGCCCGAACTTGGACACACAGTCAAAGTGATTCTTGAATACTGAAATAGCCAGGTCATTGAAACAGAACTGTGCATATGCCGTGTACATTAGACACACCAATTTCATTAAAGATTTTACACTAGTGTTCATGTTCAAACTACAAAACTATTAAAAATAATTCTCTGACTAAAATAGTTCCATTTCAGTACGTAAATTTCTCTTATATCTGTATGATGTTATCAGTAAATGATTTGTATGCTCATATCTGGCTTATGATTGTATATTTATATATATATATTTATGAATTTATATTTCTACAAATGTGAAATTGTATGACAAAAACGGCCTCAAATAAAGATATACTTCAAGTCTTTACTCCTTTGTTGAATCAATTTAGATAAATTTTAAATAGAAATCTGAAATTATGGCACTGGTTTATTAGCTTAACACCATTAAAAAAACAAAATATATTTAAAAGTAATAAGATACTTCAAAGTATAACTGTTAGTAAAATGTTGGATGAAAGAAAAGGGAATGGCATAAGCTGCGAATTTTGAAAGATTCTCTTCCTACTGTGAAGTAAAACAAACATGTTAAAGTTAAGCAGTGCAAAAAAACTATTGCGTAATACTATGAGAATACCTAAAGCAAGAAATACGAGAGTCTACAAGCCGCCATCAACCGTGAAAAGCAAAAGTGTAAAACCATTTTATCAGAGGGAACCTCATGGCTGATATGATGGCAGTCTATTAATTTTATGCAAGCTCAGTGTGATGCTCAGTGAAGTGGTTGGCTTACCTTGAGTGTCTTCCATGGCTGCACGACTTTATTTGGTGCCAATAATAAATGAACAGTACATGTTTTATAACTTTCAGGGAAAAGATAAATACTCTTGGAGAGAATGATCATTCCATTTCAACATGCAATTACCATAACATTTGAGTAATCATCAGTGTATTCAGAGGCAATTGTAAGAATAAAATTAAACCCATGGGTCATTTCATTCCATTTTATTATTCAGGCAAAAATTTAACATCAATTATATGTTAAAATCAGTTTGAGACAAGAATCTGGTTATTAATGGAAAAAAAAACAACTAATAATTAATCTTTAAGATCATTGAGACAGTACCGGTATTGTGTACTCGATCTTAAGATGTTCACTTTAAGGTCAAATCATGTTTTTCTAAAGTAAGATTTTTTTTATGCATGACGTAAGCATGCAACTTTGTGGAGGAAAATAGCATATTCTGTATATTCAAATTTCTGCAATTCTCTTGTTCGGTAGGCTATCTGCCAGTAAGTGTAACCATCTTATACTTAAAGATTTATCGGCAACCCCCACTCTCTCCCCCTCTCTGGGAGCTATTTTTTTTTTTTGAGAAGCAAGGACGAAACATTGTATTAAGGCGCTGCATGTAAGTAAGGTACATCAAATGGTAGTGTTTTTTTTATGAAAGTCGTGGTGACTTCCTTTACCTAACTTACGGTTAAGATCTTCACACAAGAGTTCTTGGCCCTGTTTCCACTCTTCAATGCTGAAAAGCATATCCAGTTCCAGTCTCTGCGTGACGTTGTCCGAGCATCGTGTTTGAATGTCTCTTAGACAGTCGATTGTCTTTTGGAGTATGCCTCTCCTGTGAGAACATTACAATAAACATCATTGCGCCTATTAACATGTCGATACAAACTCGGTTTACACTTTAAATTTTCCATGGACCACACTGCTCTTGTCATTTAAAAAAAAAAATGAAAGTACCATTTTCAGTGCCAAAAGGAAAAATCATAAAATTAGATCTAACTACGACATGTGTAGGCAACGCATTATGTTTAGTGTGGTCGGTGGTGGAGTTGAAGCTCGTAGGCCTATCTCCCGGTGAGCTCCTTGATTCCCCCCTCCTCAAATAGATGTTCATTATTATCCCATAATCCCGTCGTATGCTCGAGAATGGAGTGCACTGCTTCATCGTAGACAGTGTTCATATCGCTCACAAAGGGTTACCGGAAATTTGATCGAAAGAAATTTCGTCGACGGTAAATTGATCGATGGTAATTTGATCGACCGGAAATTTGGTCGAATCTTTTTTTTTCAGTTCACACGTTAAAATTTTCGTCAAATTTCTTTTTGAACGCACTATACTATATAGTAAAACAAAATAATGCGTTCAAAAAGACATTTGAAGCAAAATTTAAACGTAAAAACGGAAAAAAAGATTCGACCATATTTCCGTTCGATCAAATTACCGTCGATCAATTTACCGTGGACGAAATTTCTTTCGATCAAATTTCCGGATACGCTCACATAGATTTTCAAGCATGTCATTAAAAAACGGTTGCTGCAGACTGCTGCAGAAGGATACTTGTTCTCTAGCGTAATACAGACGCCAATCTTGGCAGATCTTCACAGGTGAACACACTCCCCTTTAACATTCACCAAAAAAGACATCGGGTGGTGTAAGTTCAGGGGAATGAGACGTGTACGGGAACCAGAGGCGTAGCGTGGTGGGGGGCAGGGGGGACATATGTCCCCGGGCGCCAGCGAGTTTGGGGCGCCAAAATGTGCTTTGATATTATTTTATCAATGAAAATAATGGGTTTGAGAGTTGAAAAAAAGAAAAAGGGGCGCTTTAAAATGGATCTTGTCCCCGGGCGCGAATTTTGTCCCCGGGCGCCAAACACCCTCGCTACGCCACTGACGGGAACTCAGTCCCATGCATGTGACATTATTCGCCCATGAAAGTTTTTTTTGCAACATGGCAATAGATTCTCTAGCGTTATAGCTAGTCACTCCGTCCTATTGATACCACTGTCTATTCACGTAAAGGTTCCTTGCACCACAGAACATTATCAAACACTGAACGAACGTATTGTAGGGGTTCAGTTTCAAATACGTTCGTCTTACTGTTCCGTTGAGACAGTGCTTTACCAGAACGGCCACATTTCTTAACAATACTCAGCATAACCGTCTTATTTTGTCCTCTTAAATTTGTTCTCGCCAATCGTCTGCCACCCTTTTTTCAAAATCACCACCACGCCCCCTGCCCTTTTTTCACGACCAGTTGTGAATGAGTGAAAATAGTGCTTAAATATGATGTTTGTTTTTTTTTATTTCCTCCGTAAAAAGACCCATTCCCAACAAAACTGTCAATGCAACTTGATACCTTAGGGAACACGTGCCGGTTGGGTCATTGCACGGTTGACAAACGCATGTACGCGTTCAAGTTGCGTCGGTCTCAGTACTGTAACTACTTTGCGCACGCTGCACGCTAGTAAATATCCTAAATAAAACATAAACATTCTTCTACCAATTACGTGACAAAAGCGGTGGCATAAAATCATATGTACGACAGCGAAAAATTCATCATTCTACCAAGCGGCGTGCTGCCATCAGGCTCGGTACTTGTTGGTTATAGAAAACAAACTTCAATCTATGTGTATATATATATATATATTTTTTTTTTTAAAGTGGGAAGTAGGTGACGGCCCATGGGCGACACTTTTGGGATTAGACAAATGGTAAGTGTTTGGAGGGGAGGGGTCACTTTTGATATGTCGTCCAGGGTGAAATTTAGTTAACATACGCGCAAATACCTGCATTTTTTTGTTTTTTTTTTTTTTTTTTTTTTTTTTTTTGGTACAATTTGTTGAATCATGAGGGTGGCCAAAGCAAAAGGCTTCGCGGGCCACTTTGATAGACAGCGACTAAATGCTATAAAGGGGAAAAAACACGATTTCGTTCTTCAGAAACCCGTGTGCATTTAACAGGATGTGCCCCATTTTGTAACAATCTATTCGTACCGGTGCCTTTGTATTTTTGAATACTTATTGACTTTAAAATAGTATATTCTATCAAGGACTGTTAAAATGGCGAGTCCAAGAAACTCGTTTACATGCTAGGAGAGAAACTCTGCTTACTGTTTCAATTTAACTAAAATAAGAAAATAGAGTTTAAAGATCCGGTACAATTACATTAAATCACTATGGAGAGAGCAATCGTGACTCTGATGATCTTCGATACCATATTTTCATTTCGTTACCGCCGACTACAAAATCTTGTACCAGAAAAGGCTCTCCCCGTGGAGGGACAGCCCTTCCCCCCCCCCTCCCTCATTTTTCTTAGTAACTGTGACCAAGGGAACAAAGTTCTCAAAACTTATCATGGTATTAATTTATTTTTTTTATCTCCCGCAGTCTGGGTGAAACGAAGTCTTTGTGCTTGGCCAAGTCAGCCCGGAAAAATAATGCCGCCCCTTTCCATAAAGAAAAAAGGTGCACCCGGGGCGCCAGGTGCCCTCTACACCGCCTTACAACGCCACTGCCTGAAACATGTCTGACCTAGAATTAGACAAGTAGTCCATGTAAGCAATGGCGCATTTTCCAAATCATTGCTAGTTGTCTAAACAATGAAACAGATGTGAGACAATGGTTCAAGTTCAAGTAAAGAATACACTTACACTTACACATATGGATATTTAGCTTCCTGTAAGAGGATAAATTATAGTTCTTGTTTTTTTTCAAAGTTCTTAAGTTGGATGGATTGTGTTTAGCTTATGCGCAAGAAAACGTACGAGTCAAGTGCATATTATGACACGCACATGCGTCAGCATTTTCCAGGAATATTTATTGTAAACCGTATCCGGAAATTTGATCGAAAGAAATTTCGTCGACGGTAAATTGATTGACGGTAATTTGATCGAACGGAAATATAGTCGAATCTTTTTTTCCGTTTTTACGTTTAAATTTTGCTTCAAATTTCTTTTTGAACGCATTATTTTGTTTTACTATATAGCATAGTGCGTTCAAAAAGAAATTTGACGAAAATCTTAACGTGTGAACTGAAAAAAAGATTCGACCAAATTTCCGGTCGATCCAATTACCGTCGATCAATTTACCGTCGACGAAATTTCTTTCGATCAAATTTCCGGTAACCATTGTAAACAAACCCGTTTAGGTCATTCACACTCAAGTCATTCACTTTCTTGTCATTCACAAATCAAGGCATTCACGCTCAAATCATTTAACACTCTAGTCATTCACACTCAAGGCATTTACACTTAAGGCATTCAGACTCAATGCATTCACACTTAAGGCATTCAGACTCAATGCATTCACACTCAAGTCATTCACACTCTAGTCATTCACAATCAAGGCATTTACACTCAAGTCATCCACACTCAAGCCATTCACACTCAAGTCGCTCACACACAAGTCGTTCACCAACAAGTCGTTTAGGCTCAAGTAATTCAGACTTAAGTCATTCAAAATCAGGTCATTTAAATTCAAGTCATTCCAACTCAAGCATAGATGTGGTCACACGTAAGCCTACTTACTCGCACAACTCTTCAAGTTTGTCCATATCAGTTATCAGGGGCAGCCCCCCTCCAGCTTGTGGGGCCACCTGTGCCTCCATGACACATGTTTCCACTCTGTAGCGATAATCATCTGGACACCTTGCCTTCTGGCTGGCACCTGGAAAAAGAGACGGTGCGATATCAAGGGGGAACAACCGTGTCAGCTTAGATACACCGAAGTTAGAAGTTATTAGAAGTAAACAAAGCGCACAAATATTTATGGGTCACAGTCCACTTATTTTCTCTTTCATATTGAAATCAATATCCTGTTAAATTGCTAAGTTAAGTGAGAACAAAAAGCAACACTAGTAACAGCACGTAGACAAAGATCAAAATCTGTTTGAAACTTCTTATGGTTTGATAATTTACGAAGGGAAGCATTTAAATACTAAAACAACAATCAAACAGTTTACCAGGCCCACCCATGTGGCTGAGTCGTAGGCTTAACTGTAAACCATCCTTTAAAAACGTATGGTTTTAACAATATTATCAAGCAAATATTTAAAATTTATAAATATATTTAGTTTATCGCGTAACTGTTGAGGAATGCTTCACATTTGGTACATAGTCACGTGAATAAAGAAATATTCCTTTATATTTAGACTATTTTTTATTTAAGATTTCAGCAATAAGTAATACAAAACTACAAAAGTATGCATCTGAATCAATAAAGCCATTGTATAAATCATCTTTAGGTCTAAATCACAGTTTTTAAATAGATGGTCGGATCTGTGTCCTCAGACACTGTCGGGGGCCGGAAGATATTTTGGAAAAAAATATGAATTCATCTTATGCAACCTGCACATATCTTATTTTAAATTGATTGGATACACAAGGTGCCCGGAAAAGACAATAAAATATTGAGACGAAAAATTTTAAATTGACTTAAACTTGATAGTGTTTCAAAGGGAAGTAAGGCTAATGGGTTATAAACGTCTGGTTCCACATCTGTTACTGCTACCCAGATAACTTTATGGCGGCCTGGTGGTTCGGACTAAGGACGCTTCTAGGGCCGGATCTGGTCCGCGGGCCTTAGTTTAAACATCCCTGATCTAAATCAAGATTTGATTCTTTATATTGCTTATTCCCATTTATAGGTATATATATATATGAATATGCATATATATAAATATATTTTTGCTATGATATCTAAATATAATGATATAATGAGTTATTGGCATATAGCCATATAGCGTGCCTAAACAACGCATTTTACTTTAAATAACGATCTGCCTAAACATTAAACTAAACCAGTGACCTAAAATTGTAGAAAATAATCGAATGAATTTTTGACTATTTAATGAGACTTAATATTGGACTAAAATTGAACGAGGCAATGGGCTAAATACGGACTACACTAATATTGGACTACAATAATCTTGTACTAAAATTGAACAAAACAATATGATAACTATTGAACTACAATAATATTGGACTACGAATACAATAATTGGATTGTTCGCTGGAACATAAGTCTTGATTAAACTAAATACGGGATTTAACATCGGATTTAACGGAATAGTTAGAGAAGATGTTTTTTAACGGAGTTTTCATAGCTCCCTAGAAACAAAGTCTTAACAAAAATAAAACCAAACAAGATAAAACTGTTTTTACGTTTGATCTAAAATGGGGGAATTTTATGAATTTTCTTGAAATTATAAACATGTAGCACAATATAAAGTTCATGAAAACTTTCGACGTAAAAAAAGTGTGTTACATAGACAGAATGTATAATATCATATTTGATAATTGAAGGATTCCATGTGGGTGATGTTATACTTGGTGAAACTTAAAGAAATCTGTATTTCAACTAACTTTTGTAATACTAACTTTTGTAATACTAAACTAGACACAACTTTGCCAAATAATCAACTTCTCACCCAACGCGTTTCAACTAACTTTTGAAATAACAAACACAATTTTGCCAAATAATTAACTACTCACCCAATGCGTTTCAACTAACTTTTGTAATATCAAACACAACTTTATTAAATCATCAGGTACTCACCCAATGCATTTCAACTAACTTTTGTAATATCAAACACAACTTTATTAAATCATCAGCTACTCACCCAATCCACAAAACAAGAGCAGCTGAGCGAGAATTCCCCATGTAGACGAGCAGTGCGCCATCTTGTCTGGGTGATTCACGTTCTTAAAACGATGCCAGAGTTAAAGAGAACCGACCCGTCACACACCCGCCCCTTTCCTCTCCACACTCAAGCCCCCTCCCCCCCCTCCTCCCGTTTCCAGCTATCAGGTGCGGTCTAGACCAAGCCTAATCACTACCTTCATTCTTAAAACGATGCCAGAGTTAAAGAGAACCGACCCGCCACCCCCCCGCCCCTTTCCTCTCCCCACTCAAGCCCCCCCCCCCCTCCTCCCGTTTCCAGCTATCAGGTGGGGTCTAGACCAAGTCTAATCACTACCTTCGGTTCCAGTAAAGCCGTGAGGGCTATATTTAGATTACGGACGCTGGAAAAACGTTTAGTTTTATGCTCAGATCACTTTTGTTCCAGGACGTCAAAAGAGCTAGAATGGTTCGAGCACATATTAAAGTTTGGGACATTTTTAGATATCAAAAATTTAAATAAAATTTTACAACCGAAAACTTTGCACGTTCTATGTTTACTATTTTGCAAATAAAATTTTTTCTACAATTCCTTTTAAGATAGTTTCTAATAAAGCCAATGAGGGAGCTCTGAAATATCCATTGCTGCGTGGTGTGGTTGGAGGGGATGGGGGTGTTCGGACATCTACGGGGCTCAAAGTTGTCATGTGGTTAAAACTATAAATAGTATTTCAAATTTCACTGAAGGGACTGAGATCCTCTAAAAGTCTCTCGACGGCTCTGGGTTCTAGAAGCCCTGCAACAATGAAACACAATTCACTTCATTTAAACGGTTACTTATAATTTGAGAAGCATATCATTAACATTAAATCATGCCGGTTTGCCTGACCCCAAAAAAGATTTCAGCACAGTACAACCATGGGGCGGGACGGCCATCATGTCCACGCCCGAATACAGCTGCCTTGATTACTCTTAATGGGCCTGTGTGACGTGTAAGGGATTATCTTTAATCAGTCCTCTCCACGGCCAGTGTTCCATGGGATTATATTTAATCAGCCTTCTCCATGGCCAGTGTTCCATTTAGGTTGTAATTTCACGTGTAGCCTGAAATCATCCACGCGTAGCATTTTGGCACCAACAATTAGCTTAGCGTCATCCCTGTGTGGCAAGATATCATCCATATTTGATTTAATATGAGCGATTAGTTGCTTGACATCATACAAAAATAGCATGATACAACCATATGTATTTTGTTATCCCCCAAAAGTAGCCTGATAATCATCCATAAGTTACAACGTAGTATAGGCCTACATATTTAGCTTATTTAATCCATAAGTAGCCTGATATCAATATGTTGCCTAATGTTATCCATATTTATTCTGATATCCATGATTTAGCCTGATTCATTCATATGTAGCCTGATTACTTCAAATAAGAAATTTGACGAAAATTTTAACACGCGAACTGAAAAAAATATTCGGACCAAATTTCCGTTCGATCAAGTTACCGTCGATCAATTTACCGACGAAGAAATTTCTTTCGATCAAATTTCCGGTAACCAAAAACTATATGTCACAGATGAAGTGTTTGCTCAATAAAAAAAAAATATGTCACAGATAAAGTGTATGTTCAGGCTTAAGCAAACTTTTTGTTTGTTTAAAAAATAAAGATGAATGACAAAACAAAACGACAAATAAAAAATCCGGATCCTGAGCTCAGGAGGTCACGCTTGACCGCACGATCACACAGCTCAGGAGGTCACGCTTGACCGCACGATCACACAGCTCAGGAGGTCACGCTTAACCGCACGATCACACAGCTCAGGAGGTCACGCTTGACCGCACGATCACACAGCTCAGGAGGTCACGCTTGACCGCACGATCACACAGCTCAGGAGGTCACCCTTAACCGCACGATCACACAGCTCAGGAGGTCACGCTTGACCGCACGATCATACAGCTCAGGAGGTCACGCTTGACCGCACGATCACACAGCTCAGGAGGTCACGCTTGACCGCACGAGATCACACACAAAAATGTGTTCTGGTACCAGGCCGGATCCTGAGCTCAGAAGGTCACGCTTAGCCACACGATCACACACAAAAATGTGTACTGGTACCAGGTAGTTAAGGAATACATTAATATTTATTTCCCGTGGGACTAATCGATAAAGACCTCTAAACGCGTCGTCAAAAATGGTCTATATAAATTAAGTTAGACTTATAATTCATCGTTCGTTGTGTGACACACAGTAAAAGTGACCTTGGCTGAAAACATATCCCCACATCCCAAGGAAAATACAAGTAGGATAGGGCCTCTTTGCCATTCCGGTCCACCACTGGCCTGTTTATCCATATGTGGCCTGATAACACACGTATGTAATCTGATATTATCCGTAAGCAGTGGCGTCACTAAGGTGGTGCGGATCGCAGCGGGTGACACCAAACTGAAAAATTGCATATTTACAGTCAAAAAACTGCTCGGTCTAATCTAATTTCATAAAGGAGAGCCGATCACATGTAAATTTTCCACACACATAATCAATCCACATGCGTGCTTTATTACAAGTTCAAGGTTGATGCCTCATAGATGGGCTGACCCTTTAATTGGGTCAGACAAACACCGTTTTGACCATGGTTGAAGTGTTTGGTAATTTAAATGTAAAAAATGGTTTTTGAATCAAAATATATTAAAACTGAGAAATACCGGTACTCAAAAATAAATATTTTCGCCGATTCGCCACTAGCACCGCCCCTTTACATTTTAGCACTATTGTCATACAGCACAAGGTCTTCTACATGCTGTCTGGGATTTCACGTCGTTTATCTGCTACATTTGCATTTGGGCTGATCTACTTGAGGAGGTTAATACTTATACATCAGTATCTGCAGACCAAATAAGGTTTTACTCTTGACAAAGTGGTGACCAACCCAGAGGCCTGAAGATTGTTTCTCCACGAGAAGCGCTGTAACTTGGTGGAACATGCTGTTGAAAAATACACTTTTAAAATAAGACATATATGGAATTTCGGTAAAAAAGATATTAAGGTTTAAGAAGAGAGTGGCAGGAGAACAGTTAATAGATGCTGGAATCTCTCTGCCTGAAGAAAACAGTATGGAAATGCTGGAGTGTATTGATAGCTTTCATATCATATCAGATCATCTACGATCAAGAAAGTAGCAGATATGTTTTGGGCTGTTCAAACCAAAAGTATACTATCAGCTAGTGAAGGAAGAAGAGTTATTGATGTTCGTTCCAAAATTAACCTCTTTCTATGTTGAATTATTAGAAGATAAGCTTTTAAAAGAAATAGTAAGGCTTAGAAGACACCTAAAGGCAGCTGATATTGAATTTCACAAAGTCATTGACTGGTGAGTATTTAATTTTTTAAATCCACATGTGAGACATATGCTCAACACCAACAAAACCTATACCAAGTCTTAGAGGATTTCAAGAAGGCATTCGACAGGGTTTGGCATGCTGCTTTATGGGCCACCATGAGGCACTACAACATCAAAACAAACCTAACCAAAAAGTCCCTTAAAACCCATCTGTTTAGGTCCGCCTATGACCTGTGATGCACCCTCCTTGCCCTGCCTCATTTTCTGTCTCGGGTTGATCCTGTAGTATAGGCCAAAACGTGCCAAAGTGTCCTTGTTTTATAGCCATTTTAATTGTTTCTATAGTATAGTAGTTACTATCCTAGTGTCTCAGTTTTATTTTACTTAGTTTACATGTTTTTAATAATTGTAAAGCGCTTAGAGCTTTAAGGCAAGCGCTATATAAAAATGCCTAAATAAATAAATATGATAAGGCCACCAGTGGAATACTTTTCTTGAACAATAACATCGGAGAATGATTCAAGACCACCGTTAGAGTACGACAAGGTAGCTTGCTCTCACAAACACTGTTCGACATCTTCTTAGAGGGGCATGTCAGGTGCTCTGGAAGCGCATGAAGGGACAGTCAGCATTGGTGGCAGAACAATCACCAACTTACGCTTTGCGGATGGCATAGATGGACTGGCTGGGAACGAAGAAGAGCCAGCCAACCTGGTAAAGCGTCTCGACAAGACTTCATCGTCCGTTGGCATGCAAATCAGGGAAGAAAAGATAAAATTGAGGACAAATAACCCCAACGGCATCGCCACTGAAATTAAGGGCGGGTGGGGGGGGGGGAGGATTAGAGACAGTAGGCATCTTCGAACTCTTAGGGGCAATAGTTTCGGAAGACGGCTCCAAGCCCGAATTGATGTCCAGGATTAAGTGTAAGGGTTCCTCCATAAAGTGTGTCACGCTCTGGAGGGGATCTAAGAAAGTGTGACAAGGGGGTTGGGGGGGGGGGGGTTATATCGTATATGAGCTCACCCATATACATTGGTATATACATTTTTCATCATGCATATTAAAGCTGAAGTTGACAGTGATGTTGTGCTGGATGTATTCTGACAGAAGATGCTAATTATTAGTGTCTAATTTTCATAGTGAAGTTTTTGTTAGAAGAAAGATTAATTTGAATTACCGGTAATTTTTTAACTAATATTATAGAAGTGCAATGATGTGGGGGGGGGGGGGTGGGCGGAGGCAGACACCAGTATCACCTATAACTCCACCATATTCAACTTTGGGTCTAGTTTAAGCACATTTGAAAATCGCATTTTTTTATTATTTATTGAGGTATTTATATAAAATGTAAGTGTGGTAAGGTACATCTTAGAATAAAAATTTCTATCGGGTGAAAAACACCACAAAAGCAAAACACGTGAGAAATTAATAACATAGACATATACCAACAAGAAATGTCAGATTTTCAGAAGAAGTAAAGTTAAAGTTAATTCAAATGTTAGATGCATCATTGTTCAATTATAATGAAATATTTCAAAGTGTCCCCCGCCCCATTTTTTAAAAAATGTCTGGCTAATATCACCTTATGTACAGTGGCGTAATCTAAGGTTAGTGTCACCCGGTGCGGTAAGTTCAAGGTGTCACCCCCCCCCTCCGACTTCCACGATGGTTTTCTCCTTGTTAAAATAAGTCCACAGTATAACAATGACAAGAAACAAAAAAGAATTGAAGTTCAGGAGGTCAATTTAATCAAGAAATGTAATTGCGTATCGTTATTTTTACAATAATTTTACTTTATTTAAAAAATTCATTTCCTGGTTTTGAAAGCTGCAAACCTGTCAATCACTTGAGCAAAATCTATATCCATCACCGTATCTATTTTAATTGATATTAGAGCCAGATCAAAAAGCCTTGACTGTCCCATGGTGGATCGTAAATAGTTCTTGACAAACCTTTATGTTGAAAATCTTTGATCACATGAAGCCACACATACACACAGATCGTAAGAAAAAATTGAAGGCTTAGCGGGAGTACTGGAAGAGATTCTTGGAAGTCTCATCCAGGTATAAATTTCATCATCATCATGTCCCTTAGTCCTTGGACCGTTGGGGCTCCACAGATGACATGTGAACCATTCGTCTCTGTCTTCTGCACTTTGCACATCATCGCCTAGTTTTAGTCCCGTCCACTCTTTGATGTTATCTTCCCATCTTTTTCTCTGTCTTCCTCTTCTTCTTCCACATCTCTTTGTGCCCTGCATGATTTCTTTGGCGAGCCCATGTTTCCTTGTCACGTGGCCATACCACTCCAGTTTGCGCTTCTTTATAGTCTCCGGGAAGTCATCGTACTGCCTAATTGCCTAACGAATCCCTTCTTTCACTTGATAATGGGAGATATTGTCTCTATAGCAGATGCCAAGAATGCTTCTGAAAATCTCATCTCCATCGCCTTTATTTTCCTTTCAAGTTCAGCTGTTAATGTCCAGGGCTCGCAGGCATACAAGAAAATGGATAGGACTAATGAGAGCATCTGCCTGATTTTGGTGCTGGGGGCTATATTTTAGTCATTCCATATTTTCTTGACCCTCTTTAGTGGTGTTGTGGTCTGGGCAATCCTGGACATTTGAAGCTGCGTACTGTCTCTAATCTTTTCTCCCCGACCTTAATTTCAGTGGCCATGCCGGTGGTGTTATTTGTCCCTTCATGCGCTTCCAGAGCATGACATAATTCTCTTTAAGAAGATATTGAACAGGGTGGGGGAGAGCAAGCAGCCTTGTAGTACTCCAACTGTGGTCTTGAACCATTCTCCAATGTTATTGTTGAAGAAAGTGTACTGATGACCTGATCATAGAGGCTGCATATCATTCTGGTTAGGTTTGTGTTGATGTTGTAGTGCCTCATGGTGGCCCATAAAGCAGCATGCCAAACCCTGTCGAATAGGAAAGGCCGCAGGAGTGGATAATATCCCTGCCGAGTTGGTGAAACAACGAGGAGAAGCAATGATAAGTGCCCTATTCAATATTTGTAACAAAAATGGCTGCAGGGGAATGGCCAAAATCATGGACCCAATCGCTCATCATCCCCCCCCCCCCAACCCAGAGCACTTAAAATACCCTAAAACAAGAGGGAAAGAAATTCCAAAGATAAATAGGTCCCCATACAAGATTCAGATAAGTATGGATGTATTAATAAAATTAATGTCATAGAAATTGGTTCTGTACTGTATTGATAACATTGATTTTTATCTTTTTTTTTTATTAGTTTATAAGAAATTCATTTTCTTTTTAAATGTGGGTTTCTTCTTGAATTAACCAAAAAAAGTAATCACATGCAGTACCAGATATATAGTAAATTGCTATTTAAATAATTAATAATATTAATAAGTCAAGTTTTAAAAAAAAAGAGGTGTTAACACATTTTCACTAATTTAGATTAAGAGAACAAGAGGGAATCAGCAATTTTCTATAACTGATTTATTATTTTTAAACTTCATAGTTTATATGCAACTATATACACCAATCTTAAACCAAATAGTTTATTTCTTTTGTGTTTTCTACATTCTTATTTTATTATTGAAGACAACTGTGATGACAAGTTAAAAATTTAACAAATCAAATAAAACTTTGGTATGAATAATAATTTATACTAATGACATTTGTGAACCAGTAGGTACCCCAGTAATAGGATAAATATAATCATAATCCAAATCATTAAATTTTTGTGTGTTGTCTCTTGATTAAATAATATTGTGTCAATTAAAAATTAACATCTGCTGCAACTGTAAATGCCAATAGCATTAAATGTCAAATGGGCTTATCATTTCCAAGAACCTAAAAAAACTATATTTACCGGTACCAATAAAGTCTAACTAAAGCTAGATCAAATTAAAACATTTTTGTGTAAAAACAAAAGGCACAACATTTTTAGGATTTCTTTTCATTTTATATTATTTCTAAGTTTTTATAACGAATACTAATATTATATGCTACATTAAAAAAACAAAAAACTTTTGATCTTCTGTTTCAAATAAAAAAAATTAACAGACTGATCTCCATTATGACCTTAGTGCAGTTCTGTTTTTACATTGCAAGAATGCCCAACGCTGGCACAAGAGTGACCACTTAGGTAAAACAACAACCTAAATTGGGATAAAATGTTCTTGTAAAGTCATGACAGCACAATATGTGATTATGATCCCATCCAGAATTCTTGACCATCATGATTCAACACGAGAACTCCCTGAATCTCTCTCTGGTTGTATGGCATTAGAATCCATCTCGCCTTGAATTTCTACAAGTCCCAATCCATCCTGAGGAGGATTACTCAGGTCATCCGGGGATGCCTTGGCTGGAGGATAAAGTGCAGGGAAATGACTCATGCAATCTTGCATAGTGAGGAAGGCTTCATAACAATCAGAGCCTTTTGGTTCAGCTTTACTGTAGTGGAAGCAGGAGAATGCCTCTCTGAACTCAAAGCCACAGGGGCCGCTAGCCATTCCGCCTAAACATGGGCATTCCCAGTTAATATCACCATTGGGTAGAATAAGACCTGTGAGAACATGAAGACAAGTTCAGCTGATAAATGTTCAAGGAAAGGGGAACTTCAACTAAATTTAAAATCAAACACATTAACTTGAAACATTTTTAATCTAAATTAAATTACATATTCTGTTTCTGAAAATTATAAGGGCAAATCCAGTGCCATATAATAGAAGGTTTTTTGTTTCGGGGGGGGGGGGGGGGTGGTTAAATCCTCTCTGTAATGCTTGAATTTATACAAGATTGTATAAAATTTAAAATTTTTAACACATTAACGATAAACACCTTTTTAAATCAATTCTGATAGGAGCCCTCAAGATATTGCTTTGTTACAAAACTCACACTTTTACTTTTAATGAATTATTGCCACTGATATTCAGGGCTATATTAGTATTAACTTTAAATATAACTAATCGTGTACCGGGCTGATGATCTTCCTCATCTTCTTCCAGGTTGATGATTGCAGAGCTTGGCTCACCTAGATCTTCTTTAGTGGCAAATATAACTTGGTCTTTTCCTATTTATAGACAAAGCAATCTTAATATAAATTTTCTTTAAAAATATAATTGAAAGGTTTAATAATTTTTAATTTTGTTCTAAAATCAAACATGTCTTAAAATATATATTATTTAAAATTATTATTATTATTAGTGGTTTTATATAGCGTGGTACCCTAGCCTAGGGCTGGGCTCACCACACTGTACATACAATTTAACAAACATAATTATGAACTTAAAAAATTAATTAACATGTATAAAATTAAATTAAAAAAAACAAATGTACATTCACTCCACCCATTCCAGAACTATTTACATGTCAAGCCATGGGCGGCACCCAGAAGAATCGTTTATCAGTCAGAGGGAGAATAAGTCAAGATAGTAGAGGTTTAAAGAGATAAGTTTTGAATGCAGTTTTTAAGGCTGTGACGGCCTGTATATTGCTGATGTGTAATGGAAGCGAATTCCATTGTTTAGGGGTATGTACAGAAAGAAATTTTCAAGACAGAAATAAAATAATCATGACTACCAAAGTAGGCAATAATTTTTTTTGCTGCATTAATATTTGACTCTTTTTCCTTTCAAAAAAATGAATTTGAAAATGAAACAAAATTTTTTTGTTAAAACTTAAACATCTACCATCAGCACTGAACCCTAAGGTTTGATCTTGAATTATTTTATTTTCAGATAATTCAGCAACCAGTTTGCTAGGCTTTAATTTCTTCATTACTTCACTGAAATACTACATTAAGAAATGGCATCGGCGGGCTGTCAAGCTTGCGCTCTTTATGCCCTCCCAAACCCGGTTATCGAGCAGCAGAGCGGCATGACGGGGATGTCCCTTTGTCAGGACAGCCCCCACCCGAGTCTGCTCGACCAGGTTCTCCGCCGGAGGCCGTCCCAACCCAAAGACACCCGGTCGATCCGACACTGTGTTTGCACACAGTGCACACAATCGACTTTCTCAGGAGTCGGGATGGAAAATTTACGTCCTAATATCTTCCCCTACCCATCCCGGGGAAGCGTTAGACGCCCTATAAGAGGGATTTCACAGTGGGTTTCCACAACGCAACTAATTTGCGATGTAGCTGGGACAAAACGGTTGCCTTGGAGCAGCTTATCAGGGCTGTGTAGCAAGAATCATCGACCAGAGGTTACCACCTTCGCCTCTCATCCATTAACGGCAACTTGTAATCATGATCCCTACCCTGTCTCTGTGTCTCTGCCTTTTCTTCCAGTTGAGAAGTTTCACAACTGGCAGCCCTGTAGATGCTGTTTTATTTACGGCAGGTACCGAGGACATCCCTTGTCTGCCCACGCGCCCAGTAATTGTGCAGCCCGGATAATGTTGAGGGGGTCGGTGGCAGACGCCTCCTAATTGACAAGCCACCACAGACTTGTCAACTGGAGCCCCGGGGGATCATTACTTCACTAGATTTACCTATCTGAAATCACTCTTCTTAAGTTCTAGCTACTTAGATTAAGATAAATTATGATTCAGCTAGTGACAAATTATTGCAGAGTTATATGCCCCTTGTTCAACTTATTGTCCACTTGAAAATGTAAAAAAAAATAATTTAAAAAAAATGCATGTGACATGTGCTGCATTGGGAACAAATGTGGTTAGCAGTTATTTCTTTGTTAAATTAAATAGCATGTGTGAATCAGTTTAAAAAGAATTGGATGCTGAACAATAATATAGCTGTTTATTTGAGTTTTTCAAATTTTAATCAAGAATTTTGAGGAAAAATATATCAAATTGAATTAAGTTAAGTCTACCATTTTTTGTACATTCTCAACCATGATAACCACTGTTTAAATTATCTAAGACTATCTACTAGTCTAGTCAAATAACCCCATCCCCACTTTAGTAGACTTTAATGATTAATTTAAAGCAGTGACCACATGGGCTGCCTCAAAAATTCAACAATGCATTAAACTGCATAGTTTTTAATTTAGTCTCTCTTAATTAAGTCATTAAGAAGTTAAGTCACTTTTTTAAAAATTTTCTTATGTCTTATAACTTATACTTATGTTATTTTCTTATATTTATATTAAGTCATATGATATGATACTAAAATTAAATAACATACTTATCTCTAATCTCATGAATAATGTCTACATTAATTATTAATAATAATGCATTCACTTTTCATTAATAATTATTTTGTTATGAAAAAAATCATAACTTTCTTGAGAATTTACCTACATTTACATTGAATTGCCTACACAACCATGACTTTGACATCAATCATTAATCAATTGGTTGATATGATATTAAAATTAATAATTAAATAACATACTTATCTCATGAATAATGCCTAAATTAATATTAATAATAATTCATTCACTTTTGCTTAATAATTATTTCGTTATGAAAAAAATTTAGGGATCGATTTAGAGTTCAGGTTAGGCATAGTGGGATCGATTTAGGGTTCAGGTTAGGCATGGCATAGGGATCGATTTAGGGTTTCAGGTTAGGCATAGGGATGGATTTAGGGTTTAGGTTAGGCATAGGGATAGATGACTTCACCTGACGTGTTAACCAAGATGGCGGCCATTGAGAAAATAGAGGCAATAGTAGTCAAAATTTACCCCTACCAGAATTGATTACAGGGCTGATCAGGAGTACCGTACCCATGACGTAATTTGCGTGTTTATTATAGTTTCAGTGAGTTAGGGTTCAGGTTAGGCATAGGGATCGATTTAGGGATAGTTTTAGTGACAGTATTAACTGGTTGTGTCAACCAAGATGGCAGCCAATGCGGGTACTATTCTCCTGATTTACCGATTACAGATACGGATTGATTCACTGATTAATTCAGACTGAATTGATTGATATACAATATAGGGCTTGTCATTTAATGGCGGAAATCTTTTAATAGAACTGATGTCATTATTACTCATCATCTGGGTCCTCAGCGAGGACAAAATGTCAACACTGTTCAGTATTACTATGATAGCGAAGTGTCCATGAAATTTGTTTACAACTCTATTTTAAGAAACATTTTACATATTTTTTTTTACTTCTATTTTCTGAAATGCGACTTCATTGCGCGAACGGCAAATGTAACAGTAACTCTAGGTCTAGATACAAGGATTGTCCGAAAGATATGATGAAAATCACTATAAGCTGCCTTGTTTTAACCATTATTTGTCCCCGACCTTCTAAAAATAGTACGCTATGACTATGACGTTTTCCGGTCTAAGTCTAAGAAATGACAAACCCTGTTGACAATTGGGTAAATTTTAAGGACGAATGCCACATTTTTATCGAATTTCATGCATGTATCCCTAAATCGATCCCACTATGCCTAACCTGAACCCTAAATCGATCCATCAACCTAACCCCTAATTCACTGCAACTATAATAAACACACAAAAGACGCCGTGTCCCTCCTTAATATCACCCGACAATTGAATTTCTGACCTGACTTGTCCCTAGGCCTACGTGAGCCGGCCTAAACAGAACAAAACAAATATTAATAAGTCAATCTACGAATTAAAGAAATAGTTTAAGTTCTTACCCTCCTGTGTACAATACGACATTTCAATATATTAAATTTTGTATAACTCTAAGAGTTAATAGTGATCGTAACTACTAGCTAAGGACAAAAAAAAGCATGGGTCATAAGTATTTCTTGTTTCGTTTTCGAATTTCCGTTAAGACGAGATCTTTAACCTGCGCATGCGCAAAACTAATTACGGAAGTAGAATGTTGTATTCTGTGGTTACGACAGTGCTGATTTAAACTAAAAAAAGATTGATAATTTTAAAGGCTATCCAACCATGCAAAAAAAAAAAAAAAAAAAAAAAAAAAAAAAAAAAAATTAAAAATTTAAAAGCATACCAAACAAAAAAAAAAAAAAAAAAAAAAAAAAAAAGGAAAAACTTAACTGGCTAAAGCACCTACACTTGAGCTTCAATCCTTAAGTTTAAACTTTTGAAATTTTCTTTCTTGTTTTGAAAATAAAAATCATGAATGACTGAAGAATGATATTATTATATCGAAGTGGCTATAGGCGGATAGGTACCCGAGTACCCATCGTCGCCAATGACTATTCGCAGCCTATGACTATTCGCAGCCTTATTATATATTATATATTTAATATTGATATTCTTCTCCTTATTCAATTTATTTTAAGAGTTCAGACCAAAAGACTTAAACTTAATCGTAGTTTAAAAATAAAATAATTATAGGCCTACTTGTTGTGTAAAAGAATAATATTAAAAAATAATTTTACTTTACTACTGTAATTTAGGGTTATTATTAATAAATGTAATTTTTTACTATAATAATTCGTCTCGCTTTTCTCGTGAAACTACATTCATTGCTTAAACTTGTAGCAAATTAAGACCAAGGCTTATTTAAGGCCCCCTCGTCACACATTCACATCGTCACCAAAATGACTAAATGTGGAGGCCCCCTCCCCAAGACGGGTAATGTCATTTATGGATGGCCCCTTAATTGATTTTTAATAAAAATATTGTTGATAGACTGGTGTCGTTGTTACATTCACTTATTCAACTTATTGTCTTGTTGCATACGAAGCAAGCATTATTATCATGGTCATGTCACAAGAGCTCAAAGTTCCTTTAATTGATAATAAGGAAGATCAAACACTCTGCTTAGCACCAAGCTCTTCTTCTATGAATGGAAATGATTTTCAAGAAGGCTTAAGTAAGTAAAATGCATATGTTATAAGGATATAGGCATTGGCCTACTGTGTAACGGTATAATTAAATGGTAGATTTATTCTGACGCCTTTATATAAATAAGACTTGGTACGTTACTGAAAAACAAAGTACTTAATTTTTTAAAAGGCTATAGGGCCTATTAATATGATAAAAATCAATAGATATCTTCAATCTTCAATCACAACATAAGCAAAATTAATATTGCATAAAATTATAATAAACATAATTGTTGAGCGATCAGTCTAGAAGCTAGATGAGCACTAAAAGAATAAATGAATAAGAATATAAATAATAAGAACTTAGTAGGCCTTATGTTTACGGCTTCACAAATTGTAGTACCAAAGAAAATCAAAGAAATGTTCTCATATCCTACACACTATATATAATGCTCACGCACTATATGACTATATGCAGTCCCAGCCATTTTCTCCACAAAATGTTTTCACTAGATTGAAGATAATTTATGACCTTAAATGGTTCAAGTCAGAATATTCCACATAGAAATGTTAACAACAAAAGCTATTATCAAAGAAGGAATAAATTATGGCTGATACAGGACATATTTTGTGAAAATATGACAAAAAAAGGACCATGAAAAAAATATTTTGGAAATAGTCTCATGCAAGACATTTTTGTGGAAATATAACTAATATCACACACTGTTGTGGAAGTTTAAAAATAAAAAAAATTGTAGTAGAAATGTTATGAATATAAGACAGAGCACTCCTCAGAATAGCGGTCCTAAATTAAAAATATAATATTATTAGCTAGAAATTGTCGTGCTACCAGCCTAATACTATAATAGCCACTGATAATTTGTGACTTAAATTTATTCATTTTTTTAAAAGATCGCAAGCTTCATCAGCCGCTCATCCGGCTCTTTGTCAACATCATTTCCTGAAGAAATAAAATATTTTTTTAAAAATCATAAGAAAAAGAAAGAAAACTTGCAAGAGAGAAACAAAAGTTATCTCTGTTGAATTGCTGTTTTATATTAGACAGTGTTCAGCAAGCCACACTAACCAAAGCATACAATGCCTTTGGCATTGTGTCATAAGTTTGTAGAATGTTTCCTGACAAAAAATTATTTGAAATATGAACCAACGCTTGTGGTCTGTCGACCATGGTATTGTTTATTTTATATTATTACAGGCAATAATTAGTCTGCAAACAAAATTTGAAGTAAAAATTTACGCCAACAATTATTGGCGGCTATTATGCTGGTAGACGGACACTTTATAAGGGAAATTATTCCATTTTTAATTTGGGACCAACGTTCTGAGTAGTGCCCAAGACAGTAATATAAAAATGTGATTGTAGAAATATGATCAATACATGAACGTTTGTTTATATTTGAAGGAAATTTTCTTTATGCATTTCTAACATTCAGATGTCAGTATTATTGATTGCAGTTGCTGTTGCAGTCAGTAAATAACTTATGCTATTTAGACATTACTAATAAGTTCTGGTGGAGCACATTTGACCTCCATCAGTAGCCTACTTGGATCACAATAATCACATTTTAGGTCTTACAGAGAAATTTACTTCAAAATGGATTCTTGTTGATTCCATCAATATTCTGGAACTTGTAAAGTGCATTTTTGGTGTAGTTAAGCAGTTCCCAACCTGTGGTATGCGTACCTGAAGGCGAAGGGTTAGTCTAGTGGTGCACCACTTGGGGAATGAAAAAATTATATTGATAACGGCGGAAAGGACAGAAAAGTTTTTTTTCACCCATTCAACTATAAAAAGCTATATTTCATTATCTGTCTATTAATTTAACAAATCTTATTTTAAAAAAATATTTTTTGAATAATGAGTCAGACGTGGATTGTTTTTATTTATTTTGCTAGTTTTATTCTAATGTTTGTTTTTGAGATTCGTTTTAGCTACCTGTATTGTAAAAAAATTAAATAACTTGTAAAATATGAAATAAAAGCCTATATATCTTATTTGTTTTACTTTCTTCATTTGATTATTTATTTAATAAATTTTTAATACTTCTTATGGGATAAGTGGGGGTAAGGGGGTTAATGATAGATGAAAAGTCTACTCAAAATTTTTAATACTTCTTATGGGATAAGTGGGGGTAAGGGGGTTAATGATAGATGAAAAGTCTACTCAAAGGTTAGGGGGGGGGGGAGTTTGGATACTGCTGGTGCATTAGATTCATTTATTTCTGACTTTTGTAACTCATCTATCATGTATTTAATTAAGTCCATTGAGGTAATTTCACAAAATATTTACCATTAATGCAATAGAAATACATCCATAACTGTATTTCATTTATACTATAAATGATTTGACCTCCAGTTGAACCAATTTTATTCTTTAACAAAAGTTAAAGCAGCCAACATGGTATATATTAATTAGAGATTTTCTCAATCCAAATAGATATGCAGTAAGCTTCTGTTTTATAAAATGATATGCTACAAGTTCTGGAGAACCGTAATTGAAGAGGGCAATTTATTAATGTTTTCCATTGTTCAGTCAGAAGATAAAATATGCACACAACTTAGTAACAGTATTCCCTCCAGCTTGTGGCATTCTGTCAGGTGCTTCTTTATGTCATTTTGATGGTTTCAACCTTTTATTTTTGTATCTGTGAGATTTGACCCAATTTTGTGAAAAACTGGAATGTCATGGATTTTTATTTACCTCCTTTGTTTGTTTGCTTTGAAGCGAGGACAAAATGTACTCTTTTTATTCATAGCTGTTAACCAGGAAGTTAAATTGAAGACGTAATACAAAGAGTGGGAAAATCTATATTTGAATATACAGTGCTTCTATGCCCATCCTTTATTTTGTCAAACTACCTAAATCAGCGGTCTCAAACTTGCGGCCATTTGCGGCCCGCAAGACGATATTATGTGGCCTGCTAGCCTACATGACAGCAAAGTTTATTGACAATGCGGCCCACGCATTTCCCCATTCTCATATCTATAATGTGACCCTTTGCGACGGTTTCAATCAAATCTGACCTGCAAGTCTAATTCTGATTTCTATCATGTTTGGATAGATTTGGGCGTTGATTTTAATGGTAGAAACCGTTTTAAATTTGGACTAAATGTTTTTATTTTATAGAATTTTATGAGACAAACATAGCCAAAAAGCAGTTTTGAGAAAAGTTTAAAAAGTCAATTATTGGGTAATGCACAACCATAATTGTGTGAATCGTAGCAATCTGACAGAGTATCAAAGGATCCCTATTAAAATTGCCGCTAATGTTTATGATTGAGGGAAATGACGATCCTGTCAGCTTGATCACTTTCAAAATTGTTTTAGTCAAACAGGCCTTTTCTACGATAACAAATCTCAATTCACCCT